TTTGTCTATATTTTTATTAGTATTCAGATACTTAAAATAAAAAATGCAAATTCTATTCATGCCACAGAGATGTCTTAACAAAGTCCTAGTCACATCTTAAGGSAAAGCCAACTTAATAGTTCTCAATGTACACTTCTTGCTACAACATCTTCCCCTGTCTTACAAGAGCAAGTATCTTTTTAAAATATCATTAAATCTTCAGGTAAGTCCCAACATGCTATAAACAAAACACAGCTCTGATGCTATCTCTTTACCAGTTATAGGGGCTGCAAATTACCCAGCACCACAGAGGCTTCAAAAGTCTTCCCAATTGAGTCTCCAAAAACACTTTAGGGAAAAAACAGGTCCAGTCATGACCTGCACACACCATACAGGAAAAACATACACAGTTCACTGTAATGTCAGCATCTCACTACCCCTTTACAACTTTGTCTTTTCATTGTTTTTCTTCCAGCCCTCAATGAAAGACAATGCTTCTGAAAAAGTTAACTTCAACTAAGTCTGACTTCCAGTATCATCAGTCTCTATGACTGTTTAATACTGAAACACAATTTTATATCTGCTTTGAAGCTGTCTTTTCTGCCAAGCACGGACAAGTCATTTATAACATTAAATTAGTTCTCCGACATCATGTCTGATCTCTCACTATCACTCAGGACCCTTCCCATGCCGATCAAACTCCAACTCAGAAATCATTGTATCTTTTCCRTACTTCTATGACAGGAATGACAGATGAAACACCTCCTCTGCTTTCAACCCAAACTTATCAAYAGACTAGTTCACAATCATTTGAGCTTGTGCCAATATCACCTTTAAGCTTAAACAGCTTTCCATCCTCTTTCATGCCTACTTCTGATGTTATCTATCACCTTCAGTTTTGGTAAACTAACCAGCTAACCTGTTTTGGCCCACAAACGAACTAAGATCAGTAGATGTAGTCTATTTCACTTGCAAATTAAACTACATCAGGGTCCAACAATTCAAAAGACACAGTATCGTAACACTTCACCAAAGTAATTCTCTACAGCAAAATGCAAGAGTGTACTAATTCCCAAGATGCATAGTTCCAGAAAAATAACATACCTAATCAATAATAAGAACATTAAGAWCAATAATAAGAAATGACTTGTTAAATGAAGGGTATGTTTTAAGTCTATATGTTACATATGCAAATCTATGTGCAGAACCTTCTAAGATCTGTAAGTCTGCGCTGTATAATGGTGTGGGGAGTACTTRAACTTCCATATGCCAGATCTTTCACACAGTTCAACCACCACGTTCTCAAGTTTCCAAGGCAAAATACTGCAACAACATATACATTAAGTTTACCATAAGGGATTCAGAACAGCTCGGCAYGTGGTCCTACTGCACAGCACTGGCTCATACTGAATAGGAGGCAAGTCTGGCCGTTCCTTCAGTGGTGTGAAGAGGGCAGCCACTGGGACTACCATTCTCGTAGCTTCAAGACGACTTGAAGGCCACACATTCCAGCTGAATCTAACTCCATCTCTGTCCTCATTCTGCTGGATAAATTCCAGGAAGGTTGTCATGGTCAACTTCGTTCTTTACCACTACAACAAAAAGATGACCGTTAGGGGAACATTGGCATGAAAACATTTTTAACCACTAAATGCTGAATGCACGTAATGACAGTCACACAATCAAATACTATAACTGAGTTAGAGTCAATAAATCCTAAAAGCAGTGTGCAGAATTCTAAGGGAAAACAAAATACTTCTGCATAAAATTTTGTAAGAGTTTTCTAACCATATTTTCAGTATCTCATGATCCAGCCTACAAGCAAACATAAAGGAATAATAACATGATGTTCCACAAGAGTACATTCCTACAGCAATGCTAGGAAATAACTTTGTAAGAAATTATATTACATTATCTACCAAGAAGCACTTTTCAACAATTCTCTGAATTCAAATTTACCATTGYGGGCATTGACTTAAGACTTTCAAAATTTTCTGCTATAATTACTCAGAAGCTGAAGGACTGGGGAGCACAGGCACATCTGAAAAACTCAACAGGTACCTGTGAACATCTGAAAAAGTCAGCAAGGARCACTCCCTCCCCCCAGCCCCAAACCCCTCAGCTATATACACACTGTTCCTGACTATCTACTGAATGCCACACAGTAGCTTTTATAGTAGATATAGCACTGTTTTTTTCAGAAATTAGGATATCTAAACTCCTATTACCTAATAATTTAGGATTTACGGTAAAAGCCTGCATGAACCACCTAAGAGGAAATAGGAGTATTTCTATGTCTCAATTTATACTGTACAAAGTTAATGAACAGCTATTAGAAATGCTGGAACATTCCTGAATTGGGATTTGAATCAGGAATTCTCACAAGCACACTGACATTCTTAGTCCTGCCATTACATATACTACAGAAGACTCCTAGAAACTCCCAGTTTATCAAAACCTACCTCTATTTATCAAAATTATAATGGCATTGCACCTTCAGTTCTTATGACAGCTAAAAACTTTTCARGTTATTTTAAATTACAAGCTAACTTCATGGTTTCATTCTAATCCTGATTTTTAAGAAAACAGATTAACAAAATATATAAAGCAAAGGGAAGTGCTGCATTTCACAGTTAATATCCTTAGGAAATAATCAACTGCCAAGATTTTAATGGGCATGTCTTACTGATATTAGGAGCAAATCTGCTCCTATCTAGACACGTCATGGCAATTACAACACAGGGAGCGTGAGGGACTTTGTGCATAAGAGCACTTCCACCATATCTTTCATCTAAACTGCGGCAAGGTCATTGTGCAGGGGACAAAACTGATCAAAAGAGAAACTATTTAGAAGTTCTAATTACTACAGAGAAATCAGAGACAAAAGTTACCTAAGAGAGGAAAGAACAGCCTGGCATTTGAAGAGGATATAGAATTTAAGACATTTCTTTCCTAACAAACCAAAATCCATCTGTGTTTTGCAAAAATCTCAAGGAACATTATCTCTGAAAAAGGGGATACTGATGCAAGAATCTGCATGAGACAACTATCGTCACTATAATCACAAAACAAATAATCTCTCAATTTAAAAACAATTTCCTGAGAAGATGGCGAAATTTGCAATTTAAGGCTATTTCAGCCATTCACTGGCATCAGCTACAGAGYCCATGAAATCCAGCTCCAAACATTGCAACGTGTCACACTTTCTGTACCAGACTTCAAAGTGTTTTCTCCACATTTTACTCTAGCTATGTTTGAAATGGCTGTACATGTGTATTACTTCYACCACTCGGCTACTGCACCTTAAAGAACAATGCACAAACACCAGTGTGCAGTGATTAATCACATGGACATACATATATAAACGATTTGTTGGATTTACTGAGTTAAATACTGTTATTTTCTAGTACCATATGGATTTCAGATTCAGAAGGCAAAAGTGGGTAATACTCAAGTTCTGCTTTTCTTCTATCATTTTCTTCTTTTTCAAGAACCAATAATGCTTACCTATTTCATCATTCATCAAATGTGACACTCTCTATATGACAAGTTACATTCAGTACCACTGTCAGAGCTACACAGACACGTTTTCTGGGATAGGTGTGCAGATTACACAAGTACAGCAAACCCTTCTGATTACAGGCTACACACCAAATTTCAGACACCTGAATGCCACAAAATACACAGTGCCAACCTTAGAAAACCATGGAGAAGAGATTTTCAGAACAGCTGAAGAGCAACAGTTCCCATGTTAGGATGTCACGGCTTTACCTTTGCTGCAGGTTAGGATATCCAGAAAAACTAAAGGAGACCTTTCTGGCTTGCTTCCTCCCTCCCACTGCTAAGGCTGAATGTAYCTCGGGACCCTGCACCATGACAATCTAAATCTCATGTGTCACAAAAGAAGCACATTTGAATTGCATTGAGAGTCACTGGCTAACTACCCACACCTCTAAACATTTAAATATCACAGGTAAATGTGTCCCAATACAGAACATCCCCAAAATAATATCCCCTAATCCTTGGAAGTATATACAAAAATCTAAACATTTCTCTCTATGGCATTTTAAGATAGATCTAAGTCCCGGATAGGACCATGTGTTTAAATACCACTACATGAGCACAGTTCACTGCACACTTTTTTTACAACACACCTATGCTTTCAATTTATTATGCACTAACAATCTGATGAAAGAGATTAATAATAAACCTTTAATTAATTTTTTATGCCCAAATCACATATCAGATACAAATCTATTCCACTTCCAAGGAGGAACTACAATATACAAGGAGAATGGTTTAAATAGTTATCTAAAGTAAGCTGTCAAGCTGACATTTTCACTATTCAAATGCAGTCAYCCTCCAAATATGCTTTCCCAGTCCTCTCACCGAGAACTCTTCTTTTTTTGAAAAAACAACCAAGCTATGTGAGAACCCACCTAAATTAAAAAGCAAACACATATTCAAACCCAGCAGGGCCTGCATTTCGTGTAGCTTTATCTATACTGCAAGGTACCCCGTCAGTGGCACAGCGAAGCAGGTATAGCAGAGCTCCGGGACAAGAGCTGCCGGAGAGAACCGCCCTTTACCCCCGGCCGTGCAAAGGCCGTGACCCGCCGGCCCTACCCGAGCACCGGCAGCCCCGGCTGAGCTGGGAGCTGCTGCCGGCCGCTCGCCCAGCCCCGGCCCGGCGGGCGCTCGCCGCCGCACGGAAAGAGCGCTCGCACCCCCGGCCCGGGAGGCCGCAGGCAGTGCTGCCCCGGCGCCGGCGGCAGCCCCTGACCCTAAGGCCGCCGGGGCTCCGAGAGCAGTTTCGGGCACCCGGGATCCCACACTGCCACTGTGGGGACGGGACGCGGGGAGCTCCCACCACGCTCGCTCCAGGCCCGGCAGCCGTGCGGGCCCCGCGGCCCGGGGTACCCCCCGTGCGCCGCAGCGCGGAGAGCGGGGCGACCGCCTCTCCTCCCCGCGCACTCCCGGCTCCGCCGGCTCGGCCTCCCCGCGCCCTGCGCTGCTCCCTCAGCCCTGCTCTGCCCGCTCACCCGGGTCCCGGCCGCCGCCGCCGCCGATCCCGCTGCGCTCACTCTCCCCTCCCGCCTGCTCGCAGCCGCCCCGGCGCTGCCGACGCATCAACATGGCTGATGGGAGAGTCCGCGCCACGTCAAGGGGCAGAGAGCGGGGGCGGGCTGAGCTCCGCCGCTCCCCCGCCCCCGGGGCAGCCCGCCGGCCGCAGTGGGGCTCGGTTCTAGCCATCCCACAGCTTTCTGTCGCTTCGCAGCCTTGACGGCTCCTTCTCGCGCGTGTGTGCGTGTGTTTGTGTTCTCTGCACTGCTCGGCTTTCAGATTTCCKCTAAAGGTCGGTCATCTGCATCGCGATCCCAAATCCGTTCGGGAAAAAAGGCATCCCGACCACCGAGGACACTTTTGCCTTCTCTCGTCCCCGGCAGCGCTCAGCTCCTCCGTGCTGCGCCTGTGCCCGCGGGTACCGGGGCTGCCCGCGCCCCGCCGGTGGCTGCGCTGCTCTGTCCGCTGCTGCGCTGTCCGGCAGGGAATTTCTCGGGGCCGAGACAGCCGGGCTTCCGGGAGACCTTGAGCTCACCGTGCTTGTTTCCATCTTCCACCACGTGCACTTATGGCAACTTTTTAACCTGGAAGATTGTTTATGTTTCTTCTGAGTGCCTGGGGGRAAAAAATACTGAAATTATATTCCTGGTGGGTTTTAGCCTGAAACAACCCTTTTTCTCATATTTATAAATGCTTAATACATGTTTGTTTACTATCTGCACAATAATTATCACATAGGCATTACCGTATGGGTTTGTCCGTATTTTTTGTTGGTGTGGTCATCTGTGTATCCCCAAACCCAAGTTACAGTGACTCTTCAGTTTCAGAAATTATTTTTAACAAACTTGTCATGAAAGGCCAGAACGGTAACTTCTGTCATTCCTGAGATATCGTACTGCAACTAATCTGGATGTGAGGGAGGACTGAAAAACATTCTGCTGACTGACTACCATATCCTCCTTTACTGCAATTCGGAAAACATTCTGTGACCACTAACCAAATAKAAATGACTAAATCAAATTTATCCTCTTTTCTTATATGTCAAACATGATTATGATGAAATTTCTTTGCCATTACTATCTCCAGTATGGTTTACCAGTCCTTTTCAATCTAAAAACATGAACAGGTAAACAAAATAGAATTTATGGGAAGGATTTTAAATTTCCTTGTCCACAAATCTCACTCCATTTGTGGGAGTGTTAAACAGGAGCTTGCCAATGACATGCAGCATCCTCATTTTGAACACACAAAAAAAAGGAAAAAAATAAAAGATCAACCCCAAAACCCCATCATGTGGCAAACTTTAAACAGATGCACAGAAAGCAATTCAGTGTTGTAATTTMAAAAGTATTCAAATACCTTGTGAAACATTTTCATAAAATCACCTTAAAAAGAGGCAAGTCCTAATGTCTAAACTGCAGGATGAACTCTGTAAGTAAGAGAAAAAGAGCCAACTGATAGTTAAAGACACTCAAAGGGCAAGAGAGGAAAACAGGAAAGTATACTATTGTGAAAATTCATTACATATAAAAGATACTCAGTTTTTAATTGGTCTTCAGCACAATTTCATTACATAACTCAATCCAATGCTCTAAACTTAAAGAAAAGTCTTGAAGCTGTTMCGATGGCGCAAACCACCGAGAAAATCAAGGAGAAAGAAAAAATGTAGAACAGAGAATAGATATATACTCAATTTAAGAAAATATTTTATTAGTTTCCTATATTAGAATGTAGACTGAAAGCATTTAATTTTTCATGCAGAATTTATCTGTTACTTTTTTTTTTCAGCCAACAGGGCATATCCATTAATGCAGCTCACCCTTTCTTTGGAAAATTAATAACTAAGCAGTTGAAGAGAAAGARTATACATTTCCAGTTCCATTTTTCTCCTTCTCCACTGAGTCATATTTRCTAGCCATTGCATCAGCATTGTTGGAAAGGCATGTAAGGCACAATTTTATTACTTGTGGAAGACTAYCTGTAATAATTAAAAATATGTTTCTTTGTTTAAAAACTATCAATGGAAAATTCCAGAAAAAGTAATCTAAAGATAGAAAGTATATTTAAAGTGTATTTATATTTAAAGTATATTTATATCTGTGGATTCTACAGCTGTTCATAGTTCTTGACTTTACAACAAATAGGAAAAATAAGTTCTGAATATTACCGAAGTATTACAAATGAACTTTTTATAGTTGTACTCACCAAAGTTTTTGTCTTGATCATCAGTCAGCCTTTCCAGAGTTATAACTAGTCCTAGGTAAGCAGGTTTTATTTCTAGTGGTGACTGCYATGGTTGCATACTCAACTAGGACGTTAGATCCGGGTTTCAGAAGTAAAACACCCTGGTACACGTAGGTGCTTTTCAAAACACCTTAAAACAAACAAAAGCCATTTGAGAGGAGGAGTTAAGGTAGATGTTTATTTAGAACTGTTAAAATACCTACTTGCTTTTTTTTAACTCATCAGAAGTATCTAAAACTACTCTGATCTACTAGATCTAGAACGACTTTGTATGCAGAACTAATAGGAAAGATAATATACGGATTGATATTTTRTGAAACAGAAATTTCATAATACACACTGTAAATTATTACAGCATCATCCTTCCACTTTTTATCTAACCTGAAAAACAATGCCCCTTTGTACAAATGCTACCTTGCTTTCTGGCATGTGGGTACTCCCACATGATAGTCTTCGGAWAAAGCCATACAGGAAGAATTCAGGTGTTGACCTTTATAGAATGAGAACTCTGTCTAAATTTATAACCATTAACTTTTATGTAACTGACTTCAACCACAATCTCAAAGCATTTCAAGGAAGGGACGAGTATTACAAATACTGGGTGCTCATAGGAATGGGGGAGCTTTAAAGAATGCCTTGCAAATCTACAGTGTATTAGAATAATGGCACAGAGTAATGAAGTAAGTTATTAAAGGTTTACACAAAAAAATGGGCCTAGTTTGACGGGCAGTGAATTGGCAAACCTCTTTGTGCCACTGCTCTTTGACCAAATTTCCTTGTATTTCCCTCTGGATGATTCCAGGGCAGCCAAGACGCGCAGAGCAGCTCTCCACACGTCCGGGCGCAGGGCCAAGGCTCCCTCAGCGGGGCTGAGGGCCGGAGCGGGGCCGGAGCGGGGCCGGGCCGCCCTGAGGGCTCCGCGGAACCATCCCCGCCCCGCCGCGCTGCCCGGCTCCGCGCGGCCTCGCCCCGCTCTCGCGAGAGCTGCGGAGCCGGGCGSGCTGTGCCGCCGGGGCGGCGCGGCCATGGAGCCGGGCGTGGAGGAGCTGATGCCGCGGCTGCTGCCCGTGGGCGACTGTGACCTGGCCGAGGACTTTGACCCCACCGTGCCCCCCAGGACGCCCCAGGAGTATCTGAAGCGCGTCCAGTGAGTGCCGGGGCGGACGTGCCGGGGGCGATCCCATCACCTTCCCGCGAGAGGGGCGCGGGCGCCACTGCTGCCCAGGCCGGGGCTTCGTGTTGGGGCGCCCAGGCCGGTATAGTCGGGTGTTTTCCACACCTGCAGGAGGAGCAGGTACAGATCTGTTCCCTCTCGTGACCAGCGACAGGACTCCAGTGAATGACATGAAGCCRTGTCGGGTTTAGACTGGATATCARGAAAAGGCTTTTCACCCAGAGGGTGATTGAGCACTGGAACAGGCAAAGYCAGRGATGTGGTCACAGAACCAAGCCTGACAGGGTTCGAGAAATGTTTGGACAGCGCTTTCAGGCACAGGGTGGGATTTCTGGGGTGTTCTGTTCAGGGACTTGAACTCAATGATCYTGATTGGTCCCTTCATGATTTTATGAGAATTTCAGAGACATCCGGCATATATCGACCTATCACAGGAAAGATCAACGTAGTCCACTTGATTCTATTTTGTAGGATTGAAGCAGCTCGATGTCCTGACGTCGTCGTGGCACAAATAGATCCCAGAAAATTGAAAAAGAAACAGACAGTAAACGTTTCAGTAAGTTTTAGAGTTTTTACATGTTTTGAGAAGGAAAAAAACAGGGGGAAATATGTTACTGTAATGATGCTTGTACTAATTTTGGGGAGTCATTGGCATAACTAAATAGCATTGCTAGATTTTAAAAGCATCTACAGAATTAAACGTCTGGGTTTGAAGAAACATCTGCTCAACTGCTAGGTAACAGCTGTCTTTATAACTGATTAAATTGATAATATYCATACTATTTGATACACAGCAGACTGTTTTACTGTCTGAAGAAATAAAATGTTGCATTAAATTTTACAAATATTTAATCATAAAACCTGATATCCTCAGAAGGGTATCTCCATACCTGTCTTTGGGTTTAAGTCTATATCTAGCATAAGGGTAGTTAAGTGCAGCTAAGCTTTACTAAAGTTAAATTCTAGCACTAYTTTTTCTTCCTTTTGAAAGGAATATTTTATTGGAACTTTTCCTTAYTGTTGAATCAGATTTTTCTGTTGTTGCATTGCCCTGCCAGCTTGATTTTTAATCTACTTTCAAATCATTCAAGAGACCAAGTTTGCCTTCCTCCAGTGAAAACCATGTAATCTGGTATGCCCTACTAGAAATTTCACTACTAAATTGATCAAGGAAAGTTTCTAGTACTGACAKGACCTTGCAACTTCTGTAGCCATTCTCTTAATCTGTGTGTAGTGGTATTCTTAAACACTTGTAGAAAAATTTCAATTTTTAAATAACTCTCTCATATCAATCTTTAAAGAGGTTATATCTACTTTACTGTCAATTTTCTAGATGTTTTTGTGGTCTTCTATCYTCCTCAGCTTACTATCCTGACAAGTAGAATGCCTAAGACTGATAGCATCTCGCCCAGATAAGGAAATGGCATCCTGCTTTTTGTAAGCAGGGAAAAGCAGAACAATTGCTGAAAGGAAGACCTTAAATAATTCTTTCACAATGTACTTTGAAGATGCAGTTTTCCTTCTTATGTACATATGACRAGTCAAACAGAAGAAATTTTGTCTAAACCAAATTCTTCATTCAGTYTTGGATGGAGATGTCTTCTTAGATGAAAATTTAAAGGATATTGTTTACCCGACAGTAAACATTTACTGGTTCTCTTGTTTTTAAGGATTCTTCTTATAAACCTCTCTTTACATTATAATTATTGCCAGTGTTTTCTCAGATTTCCGGATGTCGGCCTGCTCCTGAAGGATACTCTCCAACGCTCAAGTGGCAGCAGCAGCAAGTGGCCAATTTCTCAGCTGTTCGTCAGGTACAAGATAGTGTGTGAGGAGTCTTGCACAGTCTAAATAGATCATACCTGTGCTTTACAGGGGACAACTTTACATCTAGTATGGAAATGTTGTGATTTCATAGCAGGATTCATGTTCATAGGCAAGTGTTTTAATTCCTTGAAAGTTAACTGGGCATATACTCTGTGGCTTTTAAAGAGTCACTTTCAAGAAATTCTCCTTCAACAAAAATGTCAGTATTTAGATTAAATTATATGGAGTAGGAGAGGAAGGACAAAACCCACTGCAATGTTATGTAGTTATATTGAAACCTAGTGTTAGCAGGAAATGTTCTGCAGARCTCACATTAACTAAAAACTAAGTGGATYCTAACCCATCAGGAGATTCATAAAGTTCATTCATACAGTCCATTTAGGAATTTGTACACAGAGGTGGCATCCATTATGAGGAAAAATACTGATTGAGTAAAACATATTTTTAAGTTTGTGATGTTAGCACAGACTTTAATCTTTCCTACCACATTTGTATCCTGTTCAAAATTACACARCAAGAAAAGAAAATTAGGCAGTCTCAAAGGGTAAAAGGTAGAAGTTCAGGTAACCTTTACTAAAGTTTTAAACTGAAGGAAGGTTGTTTTTGGATTAAATACAAGGAAGAATTCTTTTACAGTGAGGGTCATGAAACACTGGCACAGGTTGCCCAGAGAGGAGTGGGTGCCCCATCCCTCACAACATTAAAGGTCAGGTTGGATGGGGCTCTGAGCCTGATGTAGTAGATGTTCCTGCCCATGGAAGAGGGGTGAAAGTCCCTTCCAGTGCAAATCTTTCTATGATTCTACTATTCTCTATGCACAATTCAAACAGGTGAAAAGGAAAATATAATAAAGATGTACGCAGGGATCATTTGTGACTCCAGTGATGTAGACTGAACGTTTACACTGACATCTAAAGGCTTATTCAGTGTATAGTGAATTATGCTCAAATCAATTGTCTTCTCATCAGTGCCAGAATTAATACTGTTAASTATGAGACTATCTTAAAAAATATTTTGAACCAAAAAAGAGCATCAGAATTCACTTGTTTAGTGAATCTAGACAAGTGTTTAGTGAATCTAAACAAAATTTAGTGAATCTAAACTGCATCAGCTGCTGTTATAGCATTTTTAGTGGTCTTTTATATGGTTACAGTAACAACTGGAGCSGGAGACAAATTTCTTAGTAACTGTCAAGCAGGCCTCTTTGTCTAACACGGGATTCCTGTGAGGTAAAAGAAATATGCTAAGAAAGCACACTTGCCTTCTTTCAAACAACTCTGTAGACATTYGATACAGATAAAGACCACTGGTGGAAATAAGGTATTGGTTTTATGTGTGCTTATGGATTAAATCAAATTGTGGCTTTTCTTAGGATTGTTCTAACAGGAAAGGTCTAGAAGACTTTGAAGCTTACTACCTCAGCTTAATTTTATGTAATACACTTCAAAATTCTTCCAGCTTTAACATTACCCAGTATGAACATCGTAATTACATTTCTGYTAAGAGGCATGGGAAATATTTAGCCAGTTGTGCTGGCTATAAATCTACTGATGTATAGAAAACCAGAAAGCATAATTTTCATACATTTTAAGAATAATGAAGAGCCCTTGTGGTTAGGATAAAATAACTGAAGAGTTAAACTGTTATTTGGCTTTGTTTTAATTACTYAGAGCCTGAACAAGCACAGGAATCACTGGCGGTCACAAAACTTGGACAGCAATGTTACTATGGTRAGTAGAATTCATAACAGGGCTCTGTGGTTTGTTTTCTCAGTTATTAAATCCATAACTAATCTTGCTTTATAGTTTCATGCAACAATTTATGAGTATTACCAAGTTTTTCCTCTAGTGTCTTCAAGAAAACAGTATTACACAGTTTTCATCTCTTTTTATTTACTTCAGCCAAAATCAGAGGATGAAGAAGGCTGGAAGAAGTTCTGCCTGGGTGAAAGAGTATACTCAGAAATAGATGACCTATCTGATAATGAAAATTTAGGCATTGATTACATGAAGGTGAGTATAGGACTTCTACTTTTCACACGAATTGTCAGAAACAATCCCACTGTTTATTATTACTTCGTGCTAAATTGAAAATAGGCGTTCTGGTGAGCCCACAAAGTCCCATTTTTTGTTCCTTTTAAGCGGAAACTAAGCAAAGCAAAGAACATATCTGTTTCTTCCATCAAAATCTAAAGATTTCCTTCATCTGTTAATGGCTCAAGTGCACTACCTTGTTCTCACTGAACTGAATGGAAGCTTTCTTAGTAGCCTGGCTTAGCATTTTGTTGCATGGTGATGTGGTTACCCTCCTCGTACCTATTATCCTACAAACACGCCCTTCACTGCATCATTTTGAAAACCCAAATTTTCAACAAATAACCACAGAAGCAAGGTTCTCTGATACCGGTTTCAAACCTGGACCTTCAATTTTCTTGAAAATAGTTTTTAGAATAGATTTTAAACCTCAGAACAGACTTCCAAATCACTACAAGTGTCTGAACATCAAATTAAAATCTTTTTATGTTCTAAATTACAACAGAAATGTTTGTGATGATGTTTCCAACTTGATTTTTTTCAGGTGGGCTTTCCCCCCTTGCTAAGTATTGTAAGCAGGATGAATCAGGTAAGCCTATCTCTTAGAATCATATAGTGACATTGCCTAAATCATTATTTCTCATTTCTGTCTGTTGCTGAAGGCTTATTTATTTTCTTTGCCTAGAGTAGGCGATCATTTATTACAAATTCTATTCACTGTAAGCTTAGAAGGAAAACATTCTCATTATCTCACCTTCTGCTACAAATAACTTTATTAGCAAAGATTTATTGTGACTAATTCTGAAAGTATTTTGTTGTTGTAATTTCTCTGTAGATTTGATGTTTGAATTTTTGCTGAATACCCCAATAGGTACTTGACAGTGTTTTTAAATTTCTCATTTAGAAATGAGAAAATTTTAGTTTTWAGTGCAG